GATTCTCATCACTGGGCCAATAAGCAGCATCATGATAGATGATGAAGAGACTGAGATTGTTAATAGCTAATATATACATATGCAAAACCAACATCAGTGACAATGGAGAGAGATTAAAGGCATTCCTCATGTGAACAGAGACCTGGAGGGTACTGACTAGCATAATTTCTATTCAACATTGTACTAGAATTCCTATTAAGAGTAATTAGGTAAAAGAAGGAAATAAGAGCCATCCAAATAGGCAGAGGAGGTAAAAACCACCCTTATTTGCAGATGATATGATAGTGTACATAGAAACCCTAAAGACGCAACAAAAAACTATTAGACCTAGTAGACTAATGCAGCAGAGTGGCAGGATACAAGTAAACATCCAAAAAGCAGTTGATATTTTCTACAGCAATAACATCATTTCAGTAACAATGAAAATTAAAAAAGCAATACAACTACCTGGCCAACTGACTGGAAGAGATCCATATTTGTTCCCATTCAAAAAGAAAAAAAAATGAGTGACTGACAGACGTAGATATTATCTAACAATATCACATGCAAGAAAAATACTGCTGAAGATTATTCAAAATTGACTGGAACAGTACATTGACAGAGAACGACCAAAAGAAAAACAAGCTGGGTTTAGAAGAGGCCATGGCACCAGAGGCATTATTGCTAATGTCAGATGGATCTTAGCTGAAAGCAAAGAGTGCCAGAGAAATATCTGTGTTTCATTGACTATGCACAGGCATTTGACAGTGTGGATCAGAACAAACTGTAGACAACCCTAAGAAGAAAGGGAATCCAAGAACACTTGATTGTGGAACCTATACTTAGACCAGGAAGCAGTGTTCAGAACAGAGCAAAGAAACACAGAATGATTCAAAATCAGGAAATGAGTGTGTCAAATGTGTCCTCTTTCCCTATATTTTCAATCTATATGCAGAACGTATCATTTGATCATTCAGGAGGCTGGACTTTATGAGAAGGAATGTGTAGTCAGGATTGCAGGAAGATTCTTCAACAGCCTGCAGTACGCAGATGATACAACCTTGTATACCACAACTTAGAAGGACCTGAAGCATTTGCTACAGAAGGTCAAAGACTGCTGTCTTCAATATGGATTAAAGCTCAACATCAAGAAGGTAGAGATTCCCAGGCCAATTGGCAGCAACAAGATAAATGGAGAAGAGATTAAAGCTGTTAACTATTTCATCTTGCTCTGCTCCACAATTAACACTGTTGGCATCAGGAGTCATGAAATCAAAAGACAAACTGTACTGGGAAAGCTGCTCTCAGGGATCTCTCCAAAGTGCTGAAGAGCAACAGTATCAGTCTAGTGACTAAGGTATGCCTGATTCAGGCCATGGTCTTTGCAATCACTTGCTATGCATCAGAGAGCTGGACAACTACTAAAGATAACAGAAGAATTTCTTTCTCTGAGCTGTGGTACCGGAGAAGAATATTGAACATACTATGGCCTGCCAAGGGAACAAGCAAGTTTATCTTGTGGAGGATGAAATCAGGCAGCTCCTTGGAGGCAAGGATTTTGAAGCTCTGTCTCATATACTTTGAGCATGTGGCTCCGAAGGACCAGTCCCTGGAGAAGTATAAAAGCAAAAGAGGAAGACTCCCAATTGGGATGGATTCATACAGTGATTGCAGCAATGGGCTCAACTGTATCAGAGATGATGAGTATAGCACTGGATAGGATAGGGTTCCGGTTTATTATTCATAGGGTCCCTATGATGCACCCTACTCAATGGCATTTAACAACACCACATGGATGAGTCTAGAGAACACTTAGCTAAGCGAAATACTTCAGCCACACACACACACACAAAGGATACTGCTTAAGATTGCTATCATGGAAATAGGATGGTAATTGAGGGGTGTGGAAAACATGGGAAGAATAGAAAGAGAAGGTACAGAAAATGAACCCTGTAAAAGACTAAGACAAAGAAGATGTTCAACCTGGTTAAAAACAGATGTAATGACAATACAGCTATTGCAATTAGTAAATATGAACAAGACATGTATAATTGTTCAAAAGGGGATGGGGAGAGGAGAAAGAGGTGAAAAAAGGGAGGGGGACAATCACTCAGCAGAGATTAGTAGATAGATGAAGGGCTGATGCATAAGCAAAGTAAATGAGGACCCGATGAGATAGGGTGATAAAAAGCATGGGTCCATAGTGATTAATTATATGAAACAAAATATAATTAAATACAATGAAATAATGAAACACAATGTACATAGTGAAACACAATGTATATGAGAAACTATATACAAACCAGTGGAAAAAAAACCCTCAAAACCTAGAACTAAACAACTCCTTGACCACAATTAGTAAACAGAGATATTCCTAGGCCGAACACTGCATTTTATGATGATTATATTTTATTTAACTTAAAGCCTTTTCAATAAAGACAAATAGGGAAGAGGAACTGAGAGTTAAAGATTCCTAAATACATTTATTTCACGCTTACCTGGAAAAGTAAATGTAAATAAGGATACTTTCAAATTGTATTGGAGAAGAGGGAGAAATTGAAATAATGTTGAGGGTCATAAACAAATAGATTAACAAAAGAGGAAATCCGTTGAATGGAAAACCATTTTGCTCTGTGAACTTTCATTCAAAATACAAAAAAAAAAAGTTTAAAAGGTGAGAATCTGAAGCTGACTCAAGGACATACAACAATTTTACTTATGTGATAACTGGTATTTCAAATGTCTGGGGAAATGACTATTCAATGTTATTTTGGAACAATATGTCATTTGGTAGAAGTAGAAGATAACTATCATTATTATAAATTAATTATCATAAAATTGATGCAAGAGCCTTTAGTGATTTGTTTATAAAATTATGAATAAGGGTATTTTGATAATTTTGATAAGGAGAAATATTTCAAGCAATAAATTAACACACACAGACACAACACAAAAAACTGAATAAAGTGATGATCTTTATAGAGATTTTCAATGTTCTTAAAGACCCTAAGTACATCATAAACTGTCCTCTTAGCAGAAATTAACACATAATAGATAATATGTTGATATTTACTGCAACTAACAATCCTACAAATCAATTTTAAAAGGTCAAGAAGAATTACAAAATGGGCTAGGACATATTAAAGATGCAGCATTTCACTATTAAGTGAAGTATTAATTATAAAATGTATGACTTTTTCTAACATAACAGTTAGAAGTTTGAAAACATTGGTTTTCATGAGGGTGCAGAGAAAAGGGAACTACACTTTCTAGTTTTTATCAAATTGCTAAATGTTTGTTGCTTATAATCCAATAATCCTATATCAAGTAATGAATACCAGAGCAATACTAGAACAAGTGCACAAAAATGTACAAGATATTCATTACACACAGCTTTGGCTGCTATGACAAAGTGCTAAATAGAAATGCCCATCAATATGGAAGTAGTTAAACCCATGAGGTCAGTTGTGATGCTGAATAATAGAATGCCAATACTATTACAGGGTATGTTGTTGTTGTTGTTGTTACGTGCTACCACATCAGAACTGATTCAGATAGTCAGTAGGTTTTCAGGGGCTATAAATCTCACAGGAAGACTATCTTTCTCCGATGGAGCAGCTGATGGATTTGAACTGCATGCCTTTGAGGTGGCAGCTCAACTCTTTACCATTAGGCTTCCAGAGTTCCCTTTACAAAGTGTAAGGAGATGTATTCCGATGCCCAAGACATATAGTTAAGTGAAAATAACAACTTGCAGAATAATACTACAATTTCATTTTTAAAAAAATGTTGGCTGTACATGTCTTTTCTAGAGGATGCATGTAATTATAATAGTTAGCATCTCTTATAATTAGCATTACTGAAGAACAGGTTTAAGAGAGGTGAGCTTATCTTCTTATTGTTCAACTATTCTCATGTGAATGTTACTGAATTATTACAAATAAGCATTATTCTCAAGTTTTCAAAGTATCCCTCTGTCCATACACACATACACACAGAGCTATCACTTTGGGTTTGTGATAATTTACAAAGGCTTCCTTATTTGGAACCAAGAGTTTTAGAGCCAAGTAGCCCTCAAGTCTGCTATCTTTCATTTTATCCTCTCAACCATTTGAAGACATTTGACACATCTTTTACTCTTAGCAGAAACTAACACATAATATCCCAAGTCCTTCAAACATTCTTGAGTGAATAGTTTTCAAGGATATGAACACAGACTTTTAAATGCCAGAATAAATTCACCTGTTCCATCTGACCAGAACAAAGCAGAATGAATCTGTTATCTTTCATATTTTGTAAATGATTCCAACAAATGCAACATAATGCTTATAATCTGGAAATCATATAATATTACTTGCAAAAATACAAGCACAGGATATGGGGTTCATAGAAACTCTCTGTACTATCTTCCCAATTTTTCAATTAATTTAAAACTCTTCTAAAAATAAAATTTATTCAATTAAAAAATCAAACAAATATTAAATATAATTTTAGAAAAGAATTCCCTTAGAAGGAAGCTTTCTTCACAATTTATTTCTAATGCTCTGTAACAATGTGTGATTTATGAATCACGTTATATTTTGCTGGCATCTGTTTATGCCTCAATTCTAGTGATTTTACTAAAATCATAAAATATGCAATACAATGAAATATTTAAGAATAAAAAGGTAACAAAGTATTTAACAAATAATATTAAATATAATTCCTCTAAGCAAATAAATAGGTAAAAATACAAGCTTGGCTAAAACCAAACTTTGGTTTATTTCTGCTTGCTGACTTAAATTCTAGTTTTCCATTAAAGCAAAATAGAATAAATTTAAACTCTGAGCCAATATGAAATAAAAGTATCTCAAAAGTAAGTAAAAATATAATACACAAAAATAATATATCCTGTCTTTTTAAACAAACATTAAGTTTGTTTCATATTTCCTTTTATCATCACAATGAGGAAACTTGTATATACTTAAAAATTGATATAATAGTATGCTACTGAATAAAGTATGTTTTAAGAATAAGTATACCTTTGATATGTGTTTGCAGATAATACAGACAGAATATCACGAAAAATCTGTGAATAGAAGAAAATCAATGTAATTTTTCTAAAGAATTATGTAGTATTTAACATGCTCTAATTCATGAATATAAAATATGAAGCTATAAAGAGGTCTTCTTTTAATGCTAAAGTTGAGTCCTGATATGCTAGCATCAAGAATTTAGTTGCAACTTTGCTAAAGACTTCTTTAAGTCACATTTTCTCATTCTATACAGCAAGATCTTTATAGTCTAAGATTTATTTAATATTTTTTTTACCATTTCAGCTCTAAAATGCTAATCCTTTATATGTGAAAAATTCCTTAGCGGTTTAAGTATGTATTTTTACTGAGTGAGGTAATTCCTACTAAGAAGGCAACTTTTCTCATGATTGAACTGCTTCATATTAATCTCCAACACAAATTAAGAAATCTAACTACTTATACTTCCATCTATCCATCTGTCCTATTTTATGTGTGAAAATGCCTATGTTCACATTACACTCAAAACCTGTTCAATTAGTTAGGAGCATACCTGCTTTTTTTGATCTCTTTCAGAAACCTCAAGCTTAAGGAAACTCATCAGAAAATGCCCAGTCATGGTTTATTTAGGGTGAGAGAGAGGGAGGAGTGAAAGGCGAGTGTAGGGGCCAAATATGGCCAAAGAACTTCTAATATCTAACTTCAACTGTAAAGTTAAAAACTTAAAGATAACTTAAAATTTTATATTTCACACAGATAGATAAGTACTTGGAAATTGCAGACTTGGTGACAGAAATGAGGCTACAGACAGAATGACTGAATTTTGTACAATCAATGAATTAGGCATTGCAAATATCATTTGTTTAAAAACTAGGCAAGAATTATACTGACAGACCTCACCTGATGAGCTTCACAAGGATCATATTGATGACACTGGTGGAAAGAATCATTATCAGCAGTCAATACCTGTTCAGATGCTGACTGTGGAGCAGATCATCAACTACTCATGTGCAAGTTAAAACTGAAGCTGAAGAAAATGAAAACAAGTCCCCAAAAAATCCAAACTGGCCTCGTGTCATGTATCCATGCCGCAGGCATGTCACTCCCTGACTTGAGATCCCCATGCATATAAGCTGTGTAACTTGGTGGCACTGATCTCTTGCCACCTCAGAGACAAAGGAAGGCATTAAGCTTCAGGAGAGGAAGCACAGGAGTTGAGAAACTGCCTCCCAGAGCAAGCCTTTGGGGTGCTTGTGGAGAGACAGGACTGCACCTTCCCTGGGGATGGGTCCCTCCATTCAGGGATCCTTGCCTCTGTGGCAGACCTGGGCCATCCCAGGGACCAAACAGGACAACAGAGTTTGGATCACAGAGCCACAAGCAAGGGAAAGACTTTTTCAGGTTTCTCAACTGTCATGTTGACCTGCAGAAAAGAGAGATGACTTGAAACTCCCCTTGACAGAAACTAGTCAAGTGGAGCACCTGGTCTCATACCACCAGATGACTCCATAGGTAAAGGACGACAATAGAGTTTTGGACAGGGGACTACATTAAGGTGAGATTCCTGAAGGGCTGCTGTGCAGAACAGAGAGAACCTGAAGGGCCTTTAGAAAGGCAAATTTCTGTGAAAGGACTTCCAGCAGAGTGAGTAGCTCACCTTATAGATTGAACATTTTAATCTGGCAACTAATTAATAACATCATAAAAATAAGAATTATGAACAACTTATGCAAACACAGCAGAAGGCCTAATGCTTATCAAGAAAAGCTTCACATAATGGTGAGAAAGCAACAGGCAGCTTCAAACTGTGGTAAAACAAATTAATTCTCCTAAAAATGCACAGAACATTGCAGACTCAATTAATTCCCCGGAGTCAAGAAGGTAAATGATATATGTTGATGTGGAGACATTTGAATAGTTATGAAAGCAAATACAAATAATGGAAGAAACAATGGGAGCCATAAATAAAGGGAATACCCTAAAGATAGAGAACCAGAAGAAATATATGGATGAAGAATTTTGTGAAGGGATGTATTCTGAGCACTGTACTCTACCAACACTCAAAGCAAGCCTCAACAAATTAAAAAACACTGAAATAAACAACCTAAATTTTTTTAAAAAAAACAAAAAAGCATTTTCTCAGACCACAGTGCTATAAAACTAGAACTCAAACCACAAGAAGATAAAACTTATAAAATCACCAACATGGAAACTAAGTAACACCCTGCTAAAACATGATTAGGTTATAGAAGAAATAAAGAATGAAATTTAAAAGTTTCTTGAAACAAATGATAATGAAAATACAACTTATCAAATTCTCTGGGATGTAGCCAAGGCAGTCATCAGGGGGCAGTTCATATCAACAGGCAAACATAAGAAAGAAGAAAAACCAGTAATATATCTCAACACCTTCATCAAAGAGAAAAAGAACAACAATCTAATCTCACAACCTCCAGAAAAAAGGAAATTGTAAGGACAAAAGCTGAAATCAATGAGGTAGAAAACAGAAAAACAACTGAAACTATCAATCTGAGCAGGAGCTGGTTTTTTGAAAGTGTCAATAAAATTGGCAAACCACTGGCAAACTTAACAAAAGGGAAAAGAGGAGAAGACACAAATAACTTGACTAAGGATGCAGTGGCATCAGAAAAGAACCAAAAGAAATTAAATCTATAATATTGAACTATTATGAAAAGCTATACTCTGATAAATTTGAAAATTTAGAGGAAATGGACAAATATCTTGAAACTCATGCCCTACCAAGATTGACACTGCTACAGAAAAGACTCACTACAAAAGAAGAAATTGAGCAGATCTTAAAAAGACTCCCCGACCAAAAAAAAAATCCTGGACCAGATGGCTTTACAGCTGAAGTCTGCCAAACATTCAAAGAAAATTTATCTCCAATTCTACTTGAATTATTTTAAAAAATTGAAAAAGAAGGAACACTTCTAGAGACATTCTATGAAGCAAGCATAACCATAATACCAAAACCAGGCAAAGATATTACCAAAAAAGAAAAAACAGACCAATATCTCTCATGAACATAGTCACACAAATCCTGAACAAAATTCTAGGTAATAAAATCCAAAATCACATAAAAATAATTCATCATGACAAAGTGGACTCATAAGAGTTACGCAAGGATGGTTCAACATAAGAAAAACAATCAATATAATTCACCACATTAACAAAGCAAAGAACAAAGAAAAATATGATCCCAACAATTAATGCAGAAAAGGCATTTGACCAAATTCAACATTATTTTCTAATTAAGACACTCAGCAAACCTGGAATAAAATTAATTTCCTCAACATCGTGAAAAGTGTATATGCAAAGCCATGAGCCAATATAATTTTTAACGGAGAAAGACTAAAGCATTATCTTTGCTAACAGGGACCAGACAAGGATGTCCACTGTCAACACTCCTATTCAATATTGTTTTAGAAGTGCTTGCTATGGTAATATGTCAAGAGAAGGAAATAAAAGGCATCCAGATGAGAAACGAGATGGTTAAACTGTCACTATAGGCAGATGATATGATAGTGTAAACAGAAAACTCCAAAGACTCAACAAAAAACTGCTGGAGTGAGTGGACCAATTTAGTGTAATGGCAGGATATATGATCAATATTAAAAAATCAGAGGGAGTCCTCTGCAGTAACAAAGAGAACTCAGAGAAGGAAACCAAGAAAGCAAAACCATTTACAATAGCCAACCACAAGTGAGATGTTTGAGAGTAAAACCTAACTAGAGACACAAAAGACCTGTACAAAGAAAACTACAAAACATTTTTGCAAGACACAATAAAAGACCTAAAGAAATGGAAGAATGTTCCCTGTTCATGGAAGAATGTTCCCTGTTCATAAAAATGACAATCCTACCAAAAGCTATCTACGTGTTTAATGCAATCCCAATGTACCTACCAAATTAATTTTTCAAGGAGATTAAAAGGAAATTGTCAGGTTTATTTGGAGAGGAAAGAGACCCCAAATAAGCAAAGCACTTCTGAAAAACAAAATGAAGTGGAAGACAAAGCACTCCCTGACCTCAAAACCTACAATAACAGGCACATGTTGTTGTTGTTGTTATTTGCCGTTGAGTCGTTTGCGACTCATAGCAACCCTATGTACAACAGCCCTAAACCCTGCTCTATCCTGTGCCAATCTCATTGCCTCTGACACACCCATCCCGATTACCCCAGTCACTGAATCAATCCACCTCATACAGGGTCTTCCCCTCCTGCGTTGTCCCTCCACTCTGCCCAACATGATGTCCCTCTCCAAAGACCTGTCTCTCCTTACAACATGTCCAAAGTATGTCAGGGGAAGCCCCAGAACCCTTGCTACCAAGGAGCAGCCTGGTTTAACCCTCTCTAGGTTGAATCTATTTGTTTTCTTGGCAGTCCATAGTACATTCAGTACTCTTCTCCAGCACCACAGCTCAAAGGCGTCAATTCTCCTTCTATCCCCCCTAGCCATTGTCCAACTCTCTGATGCATAACAAGTGATTGCAAAAACCATGGCCTGTATCAAGCACACCTTAGTCTCCAGAGAGACACTGTTGCTCTTGAGTACTTTAGAGAGGTCCCTAACAGCAGACTTTCCCATCACAATACGCTTTTTGATTTCCTGGCTACTGGTGCGAAGAGTGTTGACCGTGGAGCCGAGCAAACTGAAGCTGTGAACAATCTCAATCTCTTCGCCATCCATCCTGATGCTACTGATTGGTCCAGTGGTGAGAATTTTTGTCTTCTTGACATTGAGCCTCAGTCCATATTGAAGGTTTCAGTCCTTGACCCTCTGCAGTAAGTGCATGAGGTCCTCCTCAGTTTCAGCGAGCAGGGTTGTGTCATCTGCATAACTCAGATTGTTGATAGATCGTCCACCAATCCTAACGCCACTCTTCTCCTCATAGAGCCCAGCCTCTCGGATAATCTGCTCTGCATACAGGTTGAAAAGGTATGGAGACAGGACACATCCCTGGCGTACACCCTTCCCAATTTTGAACTATGCAGTGTTGCCCTGCTCTGTTCTGACTACTGCCTCTTAGTCCAA